TGTTGGTCTTTAAAAGAGAAGCATAATAATAAGTTAAGTGTTGCCGAAATGAGAATGATTAGGTGGATGAGTGGCTTTACACTTAAGAGACAAAATGCAAAATGAATATATCTGTCATAGGGTTGGTGTAGCTCCTGTGACGGACAAAATTAGAGAAAGTCGTCTTAGATGGTTTGGTCACATTAAACATCGACCATCTGGTGATCCGATTAGGACAGTAGATGTTTTAGATTCGACTTGTGTTAAGAAAGGCAGAGGTAGACCTGGGAAGACTTGGGCTTCTTGTATTAAAAATGATCTTAATTTACTAGAACTAAATGAAAATATGACACTAAATAGGACACAATGGAGAAAAAGGATTCATGTAGCCGACCCCACGCAGTGGGATTAAGGCTTTGTTGTTATTGTTGTTGTTGTTGTTGTTGTTGTTTTTGTTGTTGTATTTATAGCTAATTTGGAAAGCTAACATTTTCCTTACTAATCATTGTGCATTTATTTTACCACTCACATTCATTGGTACATTTTCTACCCTTCATTATTCATGCATAATCATCCTGATTTCATTACCATATTTTAAAGAAGTTTTTAAACCTTCCGAATAAAATAGAAGCAGAATTTGCAATCAATTCATCATAAATTTACCATTATCTCAAGATGTACTTAGTGACTTGCAAGGGACTTATTTATTAACTCAAAACTAAACGAATAAATAAAACTTATCCAATTAGAATTTTACCTGGAAGTCTCCATAATATTGCTTAACTACAAAATAACCTCGAGGCGCTTTTTATTTTAACCACTCATTCCTTTATAAAATAGATTTAAGATAATGAACATGTCACACTTGGATGCCGCTTGATCTTCTAATAATATTGACTAATGATTATCAATTTCATAATCATTAAAACTGCATGCCAAATACTAAGAACCTTTGTCCTGTTGATTCTAAGCTCACTCATTTTTTTTTCATAAACTAACTTTCACTGAAGTAAAATAACATGTAATTTATAGGTTAGATGACAGAAGAAGTGTTGGAAATATATGCATAAATATTTTGTGGAGAAGAAAAAAGTGCTGAAAAGATTTCATAATTGCATGTGTCATATGGCAGAGAAGAGAGACTTGGAAAGATATATAAAAACTAAATAATAGCCCACACTAATACAAAATTTCATACATAGTTACCATTGAAGATTCTGACATCAATCAAAACTTAATCAATTATATATAAAAAAATTCAATTAATTAATGTACTAGAAATATTGCCTAGGGTAAATTCTTCCACATGATACACAAAATATAAAGTACTAGAAAAGATAATGTTTCCTACTTCTTTGATAATTGCTTGAAGTTTAATTGTCTTAAAGCTGAGATAGATTTTCTATGGCTCGAAAATGAACCACTAGAAAATAGTTCAGTTTAACTCACAATCAACTTGTTGTAATATATATATATACATATATATAATGTCATAAAGTTGAAGATCTTATTACTTTCGAAATTGGTGTTGGCAATATTAGCTTTTAGTTTGATAATTGGACTCTTTTGGGCCCTTTGTCGCATTTCTCTACTGCTTTGCATTCCACTGATGTTTGTGTAAGAGATTTTTAGGTAAGGGAGATTTGGAATACTTGGGAACTTTCGAAATTTCTCATTAATGATTTGATTTTTTATATCGTTGCTTTGGGTTTTGATAAAACCAGTGAAAATGGTTAAAGGGTTAAACAAAATTCTAAAGTTTCTCTTGCAGCTTTGATTGTTGAAAAAATACATCGCTTTTCTATTATGGATTGGGGCGGGTAATGTGTGGAATTATATGATGAAATCATCGCAATCTTTGTTTTTGTGGCACTTACATTACTGATTATTACCTTTGGATAATATTTTAAAGCTTAAGGGGCTACATAATGCTTGCTTATTTTGTCGAAAAGATGAGGAATCTTTACATCACTTTTTTTCAAATTTGATTTCTCATTGGAAATATGGAAACAAACTAATTGATATGCCAAATTTTGGGTACCATGATTTGCAACAATAGTTGATGTTTGGAAAAGAGGTAATACTAAATTACATTTGCAAAATATTATTCCATATATTGCATGTTGGTTTCTTTGGATGGAAAGAAGCCAAAGGAAGCACTATGAGCTTTTGAATAATGCGAAGGCCATGTCAAACAATGTTAAATCTTTTATTTCCAAAGTGATAACATACACCACATCTCAAAAACTAAAGGTGGGCTTAGATGCTATGCAGCAATTCGTGGGTGATAATTACATGTTTTTTCGGTTGGTAAGGTGGAACAGCCCTCCTGGTTTTGTGAAAACAAATATTGATTGTAGCTTTAGTACTATTACTACAGGTGTTTGTGGGGTTTTTCATGACCAAACTGGGGGAGTTTTATTTACATTTTCTGCTCATTGTGAATGCGTTAAACCCTCTTATTCCGAAATGGATGCGGCCATTTATTGTTTACTTATTGCAAACAAGATGAAATTTTGGAATTTGACTCTGAAAATGGATTCGCTTTCTGTGCATTGTTGTTGCAATGGTAGTAATTTGTGTAATTGGCAAAATTTGATTCTTTGGACAAAGATAAGGAAGCGACTTCACTACTTTAATATTACTTGGAATCATATTTTTTGGGAAGCAAACAGGCCTGCAGATTTTTTGGTCAAAGTTAGTGCTACTAATAGAGTCATTAAAGTAGGTAGGGAAACTAATGCAAACTTTAATTCACTTATTCATGGCGATAGAATTGACTCACCTTACATTAGAATTGAAAACCTGTAATTTTTATAGTTTCCTTTTCGCTTGGTTTATATATATATATATATTTATTTATTTATTTTTTGGGGTTTGATATGGTTTTGATTGAGTTGTACCTCTCGACGGAGGATCCTTAGATTTTTTTTTTTGGGTGAGTTGTATTTTGGGTGTACAAGGAACCTCCAACAGGTCTCTATAATTGTTTTTTGATATAAATAAATTTCTCTCTGGGATTCTCATATATATATAGAACTCCAAT